GGAAAATGGCTGCGTGACGGCGTTATGTAACGGCGGAGGAGTATGGCATCGGCATGCGTGTTGTTTGAGTAACGGAAGACACGAGGTGTTAGCGGCGTTACCGTTAGCTACCGTCCCTTTCGTTGTCTGCTTCGCAGCAGGCAACATGGTTGGCTGGAGTTAACCAGGCAGAATATTTTAAGGATTTTATTTCTTTTTTTTTCCCTTTCTTTCTTTCTTTCTTTTTTCTTATTTCTTTCTTTTTCTTTTTCTCTTCTTTTGTTCGGTACAGATATTCCATTTTGGGGGAATGACCATATATAATTACACCGCTGACCTGGATAATACTCTTTTCCTTTTTTGAAAATTTTGGTGTGTCCATTTATAATAATTCTAAATTATTTTAATAATCTGATTTTCTTTTTGTACATTATTTTTCCTAAAATTAGAGTATTTTTTACAAGATTTAGAGAAATACAGGTCTTAAATATTAAGTACTGAAATATAGGTTGTGGTATTTTTTTATAATGAAATCCTGTTTCGAGATATCTTCTTGCTCTCGTGGTTTTAAATTGATCCCTCTCTTTTATGTCCGTTTTACCCTTTTTTTTTTCGGTTAGAGTCATAGAAGGAAAAAAAGTAAGAAAATAATAGAACTACAAGCTTGTTTGGTAACGTTTTTTTCTTTAATAAATAAAAATAAAATTGCATAATAAAAAAAATAATTACTCACTATATTTATGTTTTTCTTTATTAAAAGGAAGAAGACTATAAATGAGAAAAAAGAAAGATTACCAATCAGATCCTACATTATTCTTCACTTTCAATTTTAAGATATATATATTAGTTTATGTTAGGAGGATCTAATGTAATATTAAAAATGTATAATTAATTTATTTATTGTTATTATTACATCACTGGAATAGTTTTTTTTTTTCTTTCTTGTTTTTCCCTTTTTTTAAATACATAACATTCAATAACTATTGTATTTTTCAATGGTTGAGTTTTGTTCATTAAATTTATAATTACAAAAACATAACATAATATCTACTGGTATTTAAAAAAAAACATAACATCCACTGTCTTGTTTAAATATATAACTGTTAGACAAACGACTATTTTTCTAATAATAAAAATTAGAGGAAAAAAAATAAATTGATGCAATATATTAGTAATTTCATGTGACTATAATTTGGCAGGTAAATAAAAAAAAGCTCTATGTGTCTAAATATTTAAATTTGTTATAGGATAAATAAAACTTTGATCTACGACCAAATTATAGAAGTGACATAAGCCAATTTAGGTAAAAAAAAAAAGGCATATGAGTTAAGAAATTGTCCAAAAAGTTGCGTGCAATGTAAGTATGAATCTTTCAAGTCAAGTGCCATATGAATCAAGATCCGAGATGCAAATCAATAGATCGTGCCTTAAAGAGATAATTTTATGAACAAGACCACTACCATTAACCGTTGGGTGGACCAACAACCCTTCAGCCGACCAAGTCCAAAGGCTAGTGACAAAACCCACTTGATCGGTCATGACTCGAACAACCCACAACAAGCGCCTCAGCCCTAGGATAATCAATTGATGGCCTAATTCATGTTATGCCTCTTACAAACTCGTTCTGATTTAAACGTTGGAGTAGATGTGTAACTCTACCCTTTTATGTGGGTCTCATTATTTATTCTTTTGAACATTGGTGCGAATTAAGAACATTGGTACGAATTTAGTAATTTAGTTAGATCAAATTTACGCATCAAACGAATCATATATGTGTGATTTTTAAAAGTTTGGGTTTAATTTCATTTTGGTCTCTATGATTTTTAAAGTTTGAGTGTTGTCCCATTTTAAAAACTTCAATTTTATTTCTATGGTTTCGTCAAACTTTACCATTCATCTCTGGCATTACCATATATCAATACTTTCTTATGGATTATTTTATTTGACTAATTGTTCTATTTGATTATGTTACGACTTTGATTTAAGTAAAATTTAGAATGAAATACGTAGATTTTCAAGTAGTTGGAGACCATTCTTATGGATGATTCGCGAGGCTTGACCAAATTATAGGGACAAAATTAAAACAAAACTTAAATTACAAAGATTAAATTGAAACTTTTAAAATTATAGAGACCAAATTGAAACTATACTTTATAGACCAAATGCGTGTAATTTAAAATAATATTAATTTTATGCTAAATATATCAAATAATACCCAACAAAATTTTCTCATTCTAGCTAGCTAGTTGTCAATCTTTTAAAATTATCTATTAATTTCTTTGGTAAAAATACTTATTAAAATTTATGGATAGAAAGTTGATAGATGTAATTAAATTATTATTTTGTTAATATATTTAGCACATAGTCATGTCACCTAGATAAACCGCTTTGATGAAATGAATTTTGTGAATATATAGGAGCTTATATACCAATTAACGTCATCTTAATGGTATGTCTATTAGTTTAAATATGTTAATAAAATAGTAATTTAATTATGTACCAATTTTGTTATCAATAAGCTTTAACAATTATTTTTTATAAATATCTAATTAAATTTTTTTAATATTATAAGAACAGAGTTTTAGAATTTTTACAAGATTAAAGATGAAATTAAAAGATTAAAAGACTACTTATAAAAAAAAAAGATTAAAAAGACTACTTAGTATATTTAGAATTTTAGATTTAATTTTAAGTTGGAAAGGTTAAAAGTTGAATGGCTGATGACGTAAGCTGAAGGGGGAATTTTTAATGTCGTTTCGTTTCCATTATACCCACAAATACGAGCGGCTGTTGGACGGTCGTGGTCGTTACACGTCAGCAATCTGTTTGTAGTACACGTCAGCAAGCCCCTTTTGTTTCAGAAAAAGTGTGTATGTTTTTTTCCGCTGCTCGCTGGTGTATCTTTTGGCCAACACTAGGGGCCGTTTGTAAATTGTAACGTTCATTTTATTGTTTATCGTTTTTCGAATTCTTTTTCTTGTTCTCTTTTTTTTTTCATTAAAAAAAAAAATTGCACTTTGGTAAATGTTTTTTATTTTTCTTGTTCTCGAGTCAAAAACTTTTATATGTTCTAACTTGGTGTATATATATACAGATTCTCCCCCGCCCTCCTTTCTTCATTCTCATTCTACTCTCGATCATGTTTGTTTTTTAGTTCAACTACATATAGATATGATGAAGATTCAAACCTCTACTTTTTTTAATGAAGATATGTGTTCTTTTAATTAGTTGGACTATGTTCAAATTTGTTGATTATGACTATTTAATCACCTTATGTGCATACGAGGAATTTCAAATAAGAAATTACTCAAATTTAATGAACTTGTATTGTATTTATGTATAAATGTACAATCTGTAATATATAATCATCACATGCTTTCTCTTATATGTAAACTTTAATTCAAGGATTTGTGAGGTATTCTTGAATGTCGAGGAGATTGATGCCTTCATCTTCTTGTTGTTGAAGAACCTTTGAGGTCTTCTGCTTTAAGTTTGTTGATGAAGTTCTTAGGTTTGTAGTTTGATGAAGTTATTCGACTTACAGTTCAATAAAGTCTTTGCAACTTGATGGAATCTTTTACTTGCAGCTTGATAAAGTCTTTGCAGCTTACTTGGTGAGATGAAGTTCACAGTTTGATGAAGTTTTCAGCTCGTTGCTTGAAGAAGAGAAGATTCAATTTTTGAAGTCTCGTAGTCTTTGATTCTTCAGGTTCTTTAAATCTTCAACTTTTGTTGTCTTTGGATGCCCTTCGATCTGATGGTTCTGAATCCTTTGAATCTCCTTCCCAATCCTTCATCCTCAAGCTCCCAAATGAGAGGTGACCCTCTCTATTTATAAAATTTTTGTGGGTCTTATATGGACCCTGAGCTTAATGAGTTTGGACCTAATCTCCTTATGGGTTGATTCAATTAGCTGATTTCATCGAACGATCATAAGAGACACACGTGGCATAATTTGATTTATCGATTTAAAATTAATTTAATATGCATGTAATTTTAAATTGTGACAGTAGAATTTATTAATTGGCCAAAATTTCTCCCTCAATGCATAGATCTACATATTCACAAATTATCTAGCATTTCCATGTCTGTCACATCACACTAACTCATCGAAATCCCGTCAATGGTGTCAATAACCTTATTTTTGGTTTTGAGAAATCTAGGTTGGATTTTATAATGAAAAAAAAAAAGTGAAAGAAAAGGGAGAAGATGAAGAATATTAGAGTGAATTTGAAAAAAAGAGGGTAGGAAAAGTAGAGGAAGAGGGGATTAAAAATGAATATTTCCCACGTGGATGAACATTAGTTTTGAGTTTGATGGGTGATTGAAGCAATATAAAGCAATGGCGGCTTTTTAATTTGGAATGTGGAAGATAGCAAAGGACACACCAATCAACTCAAACTAACGTGTTTCCTCTCATATTTCCAAATAAAAGTTGGCCCAATATTCTACTTTCACTTTATATTGTCATACACATTTTCCTCTACCATATTCTCGCTATATTTTCTTTTTCCTTTTAACTCATCACTCTACCTTCGTTCGTTTTGAACCTTTTAGAAATGTAGGTATTTTGTAATTGTCTATGTTTATCGTTTTTGTTTTTAAGAAACGATTCTAGAACTAGGTAGAAATTTTGAAACTAATTAAATAGAATTTCTTGAGTTTCTAATTTTTTCTAAAATATAAATAAATGTATTATTTTATTATTATTGACTTGTAAAATGCATAATAGATACAAGATAAAAAAATTGAAGATTTAATTACAAATTTTAATTTTTAATATGAAACTTT